CCGCACGTGCATGGAGCTCGGCACTCGATTAATTGTTGAATGGATCCCGCGCGAGCTAAACTCCCATGCAGATGAGCTGTCCAAAATGATCGACCACGACGATTACTCCTTGAAACAACCATGGTTCCGCATCCTCAATCGTCGTTGGGGTCCCCACTCAATCAACCTTTTCGCAAGCCCAAACAACTCGCAGCTGCCACGATTCTGCTCAAATATACCACACCCGGAGGCCACTGCAATCGACGCATTCTCGATTTCATGGTCGACCGAGAATGGCTTCGCGTTCCCGCCACCCCAGTTAATCCCAGCAGTCATCCACCACGCACAACGCACCCACGCCTCACTCACCCTCGTTGTCCCACATTGGCCAGGGGCAACCTGGTGGCCGCTCCTACAACCCTCCCCACCTAGCTGGGCCCCGCATATCCAAGCACAAATTCCCTTGACGCACGGCAGCCAATGTTTAGCAGTAGGCTCGCACCGCACCGCTTTCTCAGGCACAGGATTGCCTCATAGTACAATCGTCGCATTACGAGTGGTCTTCAACTAACCCATCTCGTCCTCCTTCGCGCAGACATACTGCCAAAGCTACAAGTACAGCTTCTAAAGATGCTCTCACAGTCTCGTGCTGACTCAACGATCCAAACGTACGAGCCATACTGGGTCAAGTTTCGAGCCTTCTGTGCAAAGGTGGACCTCCCATTCCTCCCCGCGGCAGACATGACCCTCGCACTATACCTGGTGTACGCCATCAAACGCAAGGCCACCCTATCCATGGTACAACTCACCTGCTCAGCCGTGAGCTTCGCCCACCGCATGACTGGGAGCGCATGCCCAACGGCAGGACCATTCACCACTCAAGTACGCGACTTTGCGAAACGACACTGTCCTCGCCCCACGAGAGTGAAGGAGCCAGTCTCGCTGCAACAAGTCCGTGACATGTGGGCAGGATACCTGCGATCTGACAACCCCGGCGAATTCCAAAAGGGGCTCATCCCCATTCTCATGTACTCCGGATTCCTGCGATACTCAGACCTCGTCGCCATCGAGTGGCAAGACATCCAGTTTGACGACGAGGTCATGTGGATCCTAATTCCGTACTCCAAGACGGACCAAGCTGGAAAAGGCACATGGATACCTATCGCCGCAACACACGATCCGTTCTGCCCTGTCCGCGGCACTCAACGACTCATTCGACTCGCCGGATATGATCAGCAATCAAGGGGGCCGCTGATTCGCACCTTCGGTCATGGTTCCACCCAAGGTGGCCAATCAAGGCCACCGTCGTATCCGACAATCCGAAACTGGTGCAAAGAGGCCTTTGGGAAGATCGGACTTGGAGAACAACAGCTGGGCACTCATTCCTTTCGCAAGGGTGCAGCCACTGCCGCGGCAAACACCGGCGTGCCAGACAGAATCTTCAAACGGCTGGGCCGATGGCGTAGTGACGCAGCCAAGGAGATGTACGTCACGCCAAATGCCGAACATCTCATCAACGCCTCCCGCCAGTTGCAGGACCTGAATCATGCCCCGTCCTCAGCACAGCACGCAGAGGCACTCATCCGTCATCGGAAGCCCGGCTACCCATGTCTCAAGAACCCCAGTTGAAATGAGAACGATGCCAAATGATAAGTAAGAGAAAGCAAGCTTTTTAAATATTATAATTTTTAAACACACGAAGTGTTTTTCAAAATTACGTATTTCGAAAGCGCAGCTGCTTGTAACGCATGTTTTGGCATCGTCGAAGCGCGCTAAACGCCCTTCTCCAACTACAAATCGTGGGTTGGAGCTCATTTCCCTCCACCCACGTCTCTCGTTTTCCAACGGCTCATGCAACTCTCCCACCCCCCGCCCCAACACTGACGGGCATCATCGACGCTGCTTGAACGAGAAGATCGATAGCTTGTAGCATGATAGACATCAAGTAGCATGAGGAATCGCTAGTACAATGATTGATACGCAGTATAGTAACATGTACTAGCACTTCTGCTTCCTAGCTCGAGGTGCATGTTGTAATTTGCCAGTTGAAATGAGAACGATGCCAAATGATAAGTAAGAGAAAGCAAGCTTTCTAAATTACTACCACCATGTTAGTATAGTTGAACTAAAGAGGACATACCGTTTATGTAGCTAGCTATTAGTGGATCCAGTTTTTTTTTCATAATTTATTTTAAATAAATAAAATGTGAAAAAAAAAAAAACTGGACAAATCGATTGTAAGAGGTTGCTTCGCAACCCAAAAAAGGACGGTGGGCCCACAGAGTTAGGTCTTAGGGACCTCCTGCTCTGAAACCATGTTAGAATCTTAGGCAGGAATGGTTGAACTATGAAAAAGTTGGGTACAAATATGAAACCCTAGAAGGGGTTGTACCCCATATTGGCTACCCCACTATAGCCTAACCATATAGCATATATATAATTTGACACGATGGGTAAATGTGGCCAGGTGGCGGCCAGTCCGGGAGCCAGACGGAACCGCCGGGCACGGAAGCACAGTGGTGGACTGTGAAAGAACTGGGCCTCCTGAGGGGTCAGCCAGAGAGACTGCAACAGGTGCAGGGAGTGGTGTGAGTGCAGTTCTGTCACGAAAGAAGGTGCGGGAAGAACCTGAGTCAAGCGTGAAGGTGTGCAAGGCCTCAGCAGGCGCAGTAACTGAGGAAGTGGATTCGCTAACACCTAAGGTAGCAGCCTCACTAGCACCTAGAGCAGCAACCTCTACACCGGGGTCGTACTGCACACACAGGTGACACTCACTCTCAGCACCACCAGGCAAAGCAGACATGTCAGTAAGGATGACGTCATAGTCTAAAGCAAAGACAGCAACGCCCGACCTAAGCAGCTCAAGCCAGGGGGGGATCTCAGCCTCGTCGCCAAACTCTGTGCGCCAGGCGTCAGTCAAATAGGCGAAGCAGTGGGACTGTGCGTGACCAGGTGTCCCACAGGTCTCACCAGCTCGACGACCTATGCGAATGACGTACGGGCAGTAACCAGGACTCGGAGACGGCCTACGCTGGTAAAGCCACCCATGAAGCTGCTAGGGCGTAAGGGTCAGACGCCGGCGTAGCTGCATCTAGCCTCCGCCAGACACTCCGCACCAAACAACGTCACAGTGACTGCTACTACGGCCGCCACTACTCCCACTGCTGCCACCACCGCCGTCTCACCACTCCCACCGGTACGACAAAGTGAAGTCATGGCGGGCAAGCTAGGAGGAGCGCGACCTCTAGGGCAGTACGGAATGAAGGCAGTAGCACAAGAAGCAGCAGCAGCAGTAAGAGTAGCTCGGCGGCGCGCGGCCAGAGCGAGGCGGCGTGCAACCACAGCAGGGCAGTAGCAGGAAGCAGCAGGCAGTAGCTCCTAGGGAAAAGCCACCTAGGGCCCCTTCTTTATTATTATTATTATTATCATCATTATTATTATTATCATTATTATTATTATTTTATTTAGGGTTTAGCAGGGCGATGGCGCAGGGCAGGGCGCTGGTGCAGGGCAGGGTGCGGGCGCAGGGTAGGGCGCCAGCGCGCGCAGGGCAGGGCGCTGGCGCAGGGCAGGGCGCTGGCGCAGGCTGCAGCAGTGCGTGACGCGAGGAGCAGCAGAGCGCAACGCGCTGCCTTAGGGTGCGACGCGCGGGCTACAGCAGAGCGCGACGCGCGAGGCAGCAGCGCGTGACTCGTGGGCTGCCGTAGGGCGCGACGCGCGGGGCAGCAGTGCGCGACGCGCGGGCTGCCGTAGGGCGCGACGCACAGGACAGCAGCACGGGCATAGGGCAGGGCGCAGGCGTAGGGCAGGGCACTGGCGAAGGGCAGGGTGCTGGTGCAGGGCAGGGCGCTGGCGCAGGGCAGGGCGCTGGCGCAAGGCAGGGCGCTGGCGCAGGGCAGGGCGCCAGCGCAGAGCAGGGCGCTGGCACAGGGCAGGGCGCTGGCGCAGGGCAGGGCGCCAGCGCGGGGGAGGGCGCCGGCGCGGGGCAGGGCGCTTGCGCAGGGCAGGGCGTGTGCGAGGCAGTGCGACGCGGGGCAAGGCAGGGCATGCGTTGTTCATTCATTCCTCGTACTATTCTCACATGGTATAGAGCGGGTTCCCTAGTGGGACCGTTTTTTTTTAAGAGCCCACCACTTCCAAAAAAAAAAAAAAAAAAAAAATCCCTGCCCTGCCCGAAACGCGTTCATGCCACTGTCGCGCGCCTCGCACCTCCCTCACCTGCGCCCCGTGCACCTATCATGTTGACGCGGCCCTGCCTGGCACTGTCGCGACCCTGTCGTCGCGGCCCTGCCTTGCGGTCGCGGCCCTGCCGCCCTACCGTCGCGGCCCTGCCTGACGCGGCCCTGACCTACCGGCGCGCCACGGCCCTGCCCTTCCAGCTGCAGCCCTACCCCAATCCCGACCTGGTAAGCGCACTGCTGCACCCGCACCGCCTTGCCAAGCCGCGCAGCCTTGCCGAGCCGCGCCGCCCTGCCGAGCCGTGCCGCCCTGCCAAGTCGCGCTGCTCTTGCTACTGCTGCTGCTGAAACTGCTACTGCTACTGCTGTCATCGCTACCCCTAATGTACTTACCTTCGATGCTGAGGGTCGGGCAGTTGATTTCGAGGTCTAGGTCGATGATCTACAGCTGTTTCTGCACTGCGATAGCAAGGACGGAGTCTTGCTTTTTTATCTCACGTCTGGCGCCTCTGCTGGACCTGCTGCCGATGCTGACAGTGCTGTTTGCTCGCAATGGACCACGCGCGATGTTCCTGCCCGTCTTGCTATTCATAGTCACCTGCCGTCTGCTGAGCGCACGCACTTTAGCCAGTACAAGACCGCTAGGACTCTATACGACGCTATTGTTGCGCGCTACTCCTCCCCTGCCACTGCCGCCCTTATCCGCCTCATGCTTCCGTACCTGTTCCCTGTCCTAGCTGCTTTTGCCACACTTGCTGACCTCATTACGCACCTTCGCACTAGTGACACGCGCTACCGCGCTGCGCTTCCTGCCGAGTTCTGTGCCGCGAACCCTCCCCCCCTATGTACATCACTCTCTACTACCTCGTCACCCGGCTCCCTGACTCACTTCGCTCGGTAAGGGACCACTTCTTCTCCCTTTGCCCCACCACCCTCACCGTTGACCTCCTCGAGGAGCGCCTCCTTGCAGCTGAGAAGACTATAGTCGCTGTAGGAGCCTCTCGTGGCGACCCTCGTGCCATTTTCTTTGAGGGGTGCTCCCCTATTCCCCTGTTGCCTTCTGTTGCCTCTGCTGCTACTGTCAACCTCGTTGGCACTGAGTCGGTCGGCGCTGCATCTGCTCCTAGTAGGAGGCACCGCAGCGGCAGGAGCAAGGGGGGCAAGGGTGCTGGAGGAGACGTGGGGGGCGACGGTGGTGGCGGTGGAGGCGGCGGAGGGGGTGGAGGTGGAGGTGGGGGTGTTGGCGGGAGTGGGGGCTTCGGTGGCGGTAGTGGGGATGGAGGCGGTGGCGGCAGCGGCAGTGGGGGTGGCAGCGGCGGTGGTGCTGGTCGGGGTGGCGCTGTGCAGCGTGGAGGCTTTGGTGGTGGCCAGCGCCAGCAGCAGCAGCGTTCTCGTGAGACCCTATCGCCCCAGCAGCTTCGTGAGTGGTACGCGGGGCGTGGGAGGTCTGGGGGTGCTAGTCCCTGCGCTTACGTTCTCCGAACCGGCGAGCGCAGTGGGGAGACATGTGGAGGGCCGCACGCCACGCAGCACTGTTTTGGCCGCTTGACTGACGCCTGGCTTGCACAGTTTCTTGACTCTACTGAGATCCCACGGTGGGGTGATCTGCTTAAGTCGGGGGTTGCTATCTTTGATCTTGATTATGATGCTATCCTTGCTGCTATGTATGCTGTGTCTATTAATGCTGAGGAAGACTTTTACCTGTGTGTTCCGCCCGACCCAGGCATTGAGGCTGCTGCTCTAGGTGCTAGTGAGTCTGCTGCTCCAGGTGTTGGTGAGTCTGCTGCCCCAGGTGCTGGTGAGTCTGCTCTCTCAGGTACTACGCCTGCGGTAAATTCACTGGTACTCGGAGACGTTGCATCCGCCGAGCTAGGTATAGAGTTAGCGGGAGGATCGGAACCTTGATCATCGTCTAGGACCCGATTCGCACGGCCACTATGACCACCGAAAACGAATGCGAACATATCATATGCACAGTCACTTGCACTGGTGGACACACTCCGTGGCGCAACAGGATCTCCATTATCCGTTTTTGCTGCGGTTTGCGGATCCACATGATTTGCAAGACTGGACGGAGCTGGGTCTGCAACTGTATCTCCAGCTGCAACTCGTATGGTGACTGTCCCTTTGGTCGCCGCTGCCGTATCTGACTGTATAGTACCGGCGTTTGCGTCATCTGTTCCGTCATCGTCGGAGTCTACCACCATTGACGGCGTTTCTACCATTTGTTCTTGCCTTATTCGTTTCTATATCTTGTAACTTTCTCAATATTGAAACCACTCTTTGGCATCTCTCTCGTTTTTTATACTCTCGTCAATCTCCTTTTCTAGGCTTTTCCATGCCTCCTAAGTTAACTATTATTTCAACACATCGTAATCAGCTTCTGCGGATTTTTTTAGAGCAGCCATGCATTGCGGTAATGCCTCCTTACTGAGTGAATGGGCGCCCCATAGCCTCTTCGGCGTTTACTTTACGTGAACCCGCTGTCGTTTCACGAGCGTGCTGTTCACTGTTGACGTTGTCGCCGTGTCGGGCTTAGGCAATCCTCCCCCACCGCTTGGAATAACCAGGAGTGAGGGGTCTAGCTCGAGCGCAGTCGGTAAGTTTGGTGGCTTGAACGGGTAGACTATACCGACGTGTCGCATAGGAGAGGCGTTACTTAAACCTAGGCGACATGAACACTCTAGTTTTCAGAGAGGCGAGGCAAAACACAGAGAACAGAGAGCTCGTTTTGGATGCCACCAGACAGTTGTGGTGTCAGAGGTCCACTGGTGATCCCCGATTGATCCTAGGGAAGGGTTACAGGCATGTTGGCCTGGGGGGTTATGGACGCACAGACCCGCTACTTAACAAGCCCTTTTATCCCAATGGTCTAGTGGTTGGGATTCTGACATGGTATCAGAGCGAAGGTCTCGGGTTTGAATCCCGGTGTATGCACTTCGGACATCCCAGTGCGGGGGGGTGTCAGAGGTCCACTGGTGATCCCCGATTGATCCTAGGGAAGGGTTACAGGCACGGTTGCCTGGGGGGTTATGGGCGCACTCACCCGCTACTTAAACAAGCCCTTTTATCCCAATGGTCTAGTGGTTGGGATTCTGACATGTTATCAGAGCGAAGGTCTCGGGTTCGAATCCCGGTGTATGCACTTCGGGCATCCCAGTGCGGGGGGGTGTCAGAGGTCCACCGGTGATCCCCGATTGATCCTAGGGAAGGGTTACAGACATGTTGGCCTGGGGGGTTATGGGCGCACCGACCCGTTACTTAACAAGCCCTTTTATCCCAATGGTCTAGTGGTTGGGATTCTGACATGTGGATCTTGCTTGGCAGGCGTGATAATGTATTGCATGAAAAAAGACCCTCGCGCGTAGGAAGAGGATGTTGAAGTGGATAAGGCCTTATAGGGAAACTATGCACCCCAAAACGCACTCAAACATATTAATGCCCATGGATTGTGGCGGATGCGTGGTTGTCAATTTGTGCGCTAAAATTGCAAAGAGCCATGCTGAACAACACGATTCACGTTTGAATAGGTGTGTACAGCTCCATTTCTTCATTCGCACGTTACAAGGCAAGGTTGGTCGTTTTCATCGGGTGCGTTGGCAATTTCCTTCGGTGTGTTGCGTTGGCAAGAATGGGGCCAAAATTATTAGTGGTAATATTTTACAGCCCAAATGCGGATTAACATGTATCGTAACATGTTTCTGCAGGTGTAAAAAAAAAACGCATTTTTGAATAAGGGTAACAAAATCTTCACATTGCCTAGAACATGGTAATCTCCAATAAACGACTTGTAAAAAGGGCAGAAATTTTAATTTTACCCTGATGTTTTGGGTCTTGCCCATACGACATCCTTCGCGAGCACCCGTTACCAGTACCATTTGCTTTCAATATTTAACCTTTTTCTCATACCTTTGCTCATTGTACTCTTTTGCTCCATTGGTGCAATTCTCATTCTGTAAGGATTTGTAAATCCTTACTGAGGCACTCGTTAGCGAGGCCATCCCGAGGGTCGCGCGACGAACCTGACCTTCCTATTTCGTCGCACCGAGCCACTCCCGAGTCGGCCTCCGCTCCAATCGCAACCATCACCGAGCCATCCCATCCCGAACCCCCGCCTAGCTAGGTTTTGCCCTATTTAGGCCTCGTTACTTCATTGTGGATTCAGTGAACTCAGTACTCAGTTCATTCTCGATATTCGATATTCTGCGCACTCTGCAAGTTCATTCATAACACCTGGTATCAGAGCTACTTTCCTAGCCTACCCCGCTTTTTAGAGTGTAATACCCCTTGGGGGGGGGGGGGACGAGGAAGGATGTCTTGGGGTCCAGGTGTTGCGTAGGCCGGCCAAGAGAACGAGTTAGTTGCTCCTCGCGGCCATTGTTTTACGGGTACTCCTTCAGCACCGCCAGATCCTTGCCTCGAACGGTCGCGATCGACCGTGGCCTCCCTCCCCCCGGGCAACGGACAGCTGTAGCTATCGCGACGTTAAACGTGAGTTATTTCCGCTGCGATTTACCGACGATTTCAGAAGTTTCGTGTGGCAGCTGGCGTCAGCGGACCTGCGTCGGCACCTGCACGAAATTCGCGGAGTCGTCAACGTGTGTGGCAGTTGACGCCGTCGGACCTGAGTCAACAACTGCGCGACAATTTCGGAGTCCGTCTCATGCGGCAAGTGACAACGGTGGCTCGTCGTCATTTTGCGCGTATGACTCGCGGAATGTGTTTCGGCAGCTGGCGACAACGGACGTGCGTCACTGTGGGCGACAATTTCGGATCTGCTGTGAAGAAAAAGTCGGCTGGGGAACTCGCCAGGCGCAAATGAAGTTTGCGTCTGAAAAAGCTGGTGACGAGGAGAGACGCCACGAGGACTGACCGATTTATGCGGGAGTCAACTGCCGTCCCGCCCGGCCTGTTAAGTGCAGCGGCCTTTACTGCATTGGCGGGCGCGTCATCAACGTTTTCGGCAGAAGTGCACGTGGACAGACGGGATTTTCGGACCCGCCGACACTTACGGGCTGCAACGAAAAGCGGAGTGGCCATATCGCACTTAGCAGAAGTGGGGCGCAGGCGACGAGGGAAACCGGGGCCAGTAACCTCGGAAAACGACTCGTGCGACGCTGCGTGCCTGGAGTTGTTGCAAGCTAGCCGGCAGTTTCGAGAGCGGTTTCTCCTACCAGAGAAGTCGTTTTCGGGGACAGCTGCAAGCGACCCACGATTAAACGGCGTTCAACGTACTGCCCCGACATTTACAGAGGAGTCGGTACAGGCCGCCGGGACACACGGGAAGAAACTGCCCGACGGCTAAGCGGGGGTCGAGAAACGGCGTGAAGGGCATGTTAAAAGCCGGTGTGAACGGCCTGTGACCTTCCGTCGCCCGAACCTCACCATCTCCACCAAGTTTTAGTTCTGACTCATGCAGTCAACTTACTTGGCCGAATATCGGGGGTGAACACGGGCCTACCCTGCGCTGGTTAAAGGCACCTGGGATGGTGCTAGTTCAACAGCTGTACAGAAAAAAACAAAAAAGGGGAGTTGTGGCACTGTTCTACTCCGACAAAAGCGGAATTCTCGGGGGGTGAAACGACCAAAAAAATATGAAGCTGCGGGCATTTCTTCGCTTCTTGGAGTGCGGTTGAGTCGTTGGGGGACTTCGCCTGAAGGGCACTTTTCGAAGTTGCCTGGCAAGAAACACAGCGGCAAGGATGCCTAGGACCCCCGGTGTTTAAACGCACACCTCTGGAAATTCTTCAGAAAAAAGGGAGCATGGGAGCAGTCGTAGCTTCGGGAACTTATCGACCGGCGACGAGCGATGCGGTGAAACATCTGCAAAGCGCTGGTGGGAGAAACGGCTTATTTTGTTAAGTAACATCGGCGGAAGCAGTTTTCGACGACGATGTCAACGGCGTTGATGCCACTAGGTTCCGTGAAATTCGGTCTCGGAATAACCCATGGCAGTCCCCGGTTCTCGATTGTACCCACATGCTGGGGTCGGGTAAACTGAAGGAAACTGATGGTGACCGAGTGGGCGGCTATAGCACGTCCGAGGTTTTCGGAGGCGAACTGCAACTGCAACTGCGGATTTACGAGGTTAGATTCGAGCGAAAATTTCGGAGTTTGTCCGTGAGACTTACAGGGTTTCCGGCAAGGAGCGCCGACAATTTCGGAGGAGCATTCGGCGTTTGGTTAAACGCGCGCGACATTTACGTGGGGCAACAGCGCAGGAACTACACGGATGTTTTCAGGGGTACGAACGACTTACGACGAACTGGAGGTGGCAGCAGCAACAGTGGAGGGGGGGAGAAACAGCTGTAATTTTTCATATCTGCCCAGGAGTCATCGGCTGATTACGACAAAGGGTTCGGCGAGTTTGGACAAACCCGCCGGAGGTGGTGACGTCATTCGACACGGATACAGCATTCGGCAAATTCGACCAGAGTGATTTTCGGTACGGTTACTACTTTGACGACCTTCGCCATCTCTCGTTATCACGTTCGCTGCCAATCGCCTTCGATCGCCGACTTCGACGACACTCGTAACATTCCCGATTTTACGGCCAGAGGATTCCGGGATACAACCGCTCCAACTCTACTAGCGACAAACCCATCCACCCGACCAGCCCACGCAACTGCATTTATTTCTGACCACGTCAGGTGCTGCCAGCTGCAACTGCTGAAGATACTGCAGGATTCTAGCACGTGAAGACAACACAGGTTCAGTTCGAGTATTCGATAACATGAATTTCGGTTTTCGGGCTACATCTTCTGGTTCGTCCCCGACGATTTTTGGGGCACGTACTACTTGGTTTCGCCATCGACTTTCCACACCGACGCAATTTCACCCGGAATTCTCCGCTCCACGGTTTTCTCAGTGGGACTTAACATCTGGTTTTGTTGGTTTTCATCTCG